GTCCTCTTTTGGAAGACCAAACAAAGTAGTTTTGCTTTCACAACGAAACACAGTGTCTTCACGACATGGCGGCGGCAACAATACTACAGCGAGAATAAAAGTTATGCCTTCTTTCTTTGCGTGAACATTTGGGCGGCATTATGCAAATCTTCCCACATAGTGAGGTAGATATGTGGGGGCGTGTTAGAACGAGCTGTTTTAGGTAGGCGTGGCTGACTCTTAACTTTTATAAAGAATATCTCTTTGGATTTGAGACTTTAGTCTTTGCAACTTTACAGATCTTCTTTATGCACCAAGAGCTTGTAACACTCCAAAGAGAAAGGAAAAATTGAAATCGCATCATATGACCCCTTTAACATGACATAGGCTAAATAAGCAAATCGATAATTTTGTTCATCAGAAGTGCGATTTAGCCATTTATTTAATGTAGACTGGGTGGTATTTTTTTCCTTTTGTAGTTTTGTTCATGGTCTGTGAAGGCATCTCTTGTTGGCCTCTAATAAATGTGCCAAAATACCCAAGAGTTGGTCAGATGTCAACAACAAAAATATGAGAAGGTTGATACGTTTTTTTCCACTGGCTGCATTTTATTATTGGTATTTTATTACCTGATTTTATTTCCCTAACAGCTCTGAGACTCAGTTGAGAAGCGCTGGTCTAGAGATCCCAAAGCACATATCATCTGACTTCTCTCCAGGCTGTTGACTGAAGCATGCTTTATTATAGATCTATATTTCTATAGACCAATCCCAGTGTCTGCAGCACATGATGGCAGTAAAGATGCTAGGCTTCTAGCGTACAGTAGGTATGGTATCTTTGGGAGAAAGCAGCACTGTACTCACTGGAGAGCACTGAGCTTTGAGTCAGACTTCTGAGTGTAAATACTTGGGTCATTTTTGCCACCAGTTTGGTGTGTGACATTGACAAAAGATTGGTCTATAATAACACATGGTGCACATCATTTTATTCCAATTTCAAAAATAAGCTAATAAAATTCCAGTTCATGAGAATAATAGGACAAACAACAGCCATGTGAAACATCTCTAAAAACTCCATGAATCTAATCAAGCTTCAAAATCTCCGGTGAAATCAGACATTAAACAAATCTAATAAAAAATACAACTGCAGACCATGCATAAAAAATATTTTTTCATTTAGAATTCCGGTAACACTTTACAATAAGTTAATGTTAGTTCATGTATTAACTAACATGAACAAACAATGAACAATACATTTATTACAGTATTTATTAATCTTTGTTAATAATGAAAATACAGTTGTTCACTGTTAGTTCATGTTAATTTACAGTGTATTAACTAATGTTAACAAGCACAACTTTGGATTTTAATAATGCATTAGTAAATGTTGAAATTAACATGAACTAAGATTAATAAATACTGCAGAAGTATTGTTCATTCTTAGTTCATGTTAACTAAAGTAGTTAACTAATGTTAACTAATGAACCTTAGTGTAAAGTGTTCCCATAATTCCTGTAGCTAAAAGGACTACTCTGAGCCACATTCAAAGATTCAACAAGCTACATTTACACAGCAGACACAGAACAAGAGATTCACAACCCACAGAAAACAATTCAGCTGTCAATCGCAAACATGCTTCATATTTCAATTAGGCAAAATCATAAAAAAGTGCTTTGAGGGAAAAAAAATACATTGCAATTTTGTTGCTTTTTTTAATCATTTGGATTGTAATTTTATCTAATCATCTTCTTGTTTAAATTGAAGCAATTTCAATCAAATCACATGACATTTCAAGACTTGCAGGATGTTATTCTCATTAAACCTCGCTAAATAGTTTTATATAAAAACAAACAAAACTCATTCTCCTGAACTGGAATTACAATAAACAATGTAAAAAAAAACAGTCACATCACATTTCAGAATATTCGTCCTGACACTATAGATTCACAAACTTCATATTTACAAATATCTTCAAATACCCCAATCCAAAGATTTCAAGATTACATTTGTTTTCTACCATTAAATGGTAAAGAAATCCAGGTACTGTAATTGTGAACCACTAAAATATTCAAATTGCTCATCTTCCATCATTTTATTTGTGATAAAGCCTGCCAACAGTATTATTATTGACAACTTATATTACGCATAAACCCTTTCAAATGACTATAACAGAGATAAAACAAACAACTGAGCTAGGGCTGTCAAAAAATAATTCGAATTTTGAATATTCGTCGAATTTAAAATAAAAATCCACATTCGAATTTTAGGCGTGCGTCAGGCAGCTTTATCAGTGGTGCACGAGATGCGACGACGATGTAAGTGTCGTTGCATTATAATGTTTTTGTCAGTTGAAGCCACGAGATGCGGCGCTGCTGCGTTAATTACAAATATTGCGGGAAAAGAGAACATCAATGCGGAGAAGATCTTGTTTACGTCAAAAGCGAAACCAAGCCGTTCACACAGAACACATATTTATCACATTTTCTAGAGGGACATCTATCACCGTTGCACTCGCGTCTCGCACAAAGGAGCCACATGTTTAGAAAGCCATTTCTAAAATTAATGTAAGTTCAACTTTGAAAAAAACATATCTCGAGACTTTATGGCGGGTTTTTTCCCATCCCACTGCATCTCATGTTTTTAAATGAAAAATATGCTCTGTGTGATTAGCTTTCGGCCCTTTGTATTAAACTATGCATACATACATGATGCTGTTTTGTTTATAGTTGTTTAAAAGCAACTTAATTAATTATAATTGGTTTATAAACATTTTAAACATTATGTACTTTTTTCACAGATAGTCATGTTATCTTATGCTTTGAAGAAACGTGCATTAGTAATGTTTTGCTCGATGTGCCCTCTTGTGGCCTCAGGAGAGAAGCCAAAAGCTTTTCTTCACCCTAACTGAAATTATGCATTTTAAATTCGAATATTATTCGAATTTTTATAATATTTAAGTACAAAATTCGAATTTAGGTTTTCAGCCATTTTGACAGCCCTAAGCTGAGCTACTGAGAGTTTGCACAGAACATTATGCAACTTCTGCGTGATCAGCAGTTTACCAGGATGCATTCTGTCAGTCTAGAGAGAGAGTTTAGGACTCAAGCGCCTCTTACCTGCACTCAGAGAGAGGAGCAGGTACAGCTAGCTGCTTAGAGCACAGCGGCGCGGGACAGCAGTACTGGTGCAAAGCATTTACACACCTACGACACAAGGAGAAACAAAGACGTCATCTACTCCACTCTACAAACACACTTCAGCCCACCACGTCCTGCAGTACTCTGGCCAAGGTGTTGATATGATGATGATTCACATAAAAATTCATCCTCAGTCACAATCTGAAGAAGTCAGGAAAATCAAATGATTTTCTACCATTTCCTTTCCATTATCAGGTGAACTGAAATGCTTTTAAGCATATTCTCATCTCCAGATAGCTTTACGATCGCTCTCATCCTGTGAAACACTAGCCTTCTGAACTGTTTGCTGTGTAACTTGTTGCGTTGGTGTCTGATACTGATGAATAAGTGACAGGTGAAGATGTGAGTTGATTTCTCCATGAGTAGGTCTTTATGTAGCTCTGCACCAGACTGCTGTCACATACACAACGCCACTGCTTCAGTCACAGATTTCCATACACTTGAAACAAAAGCTAACAGGAATAGTTCACAAATAGAGCTTAAATGTCACTAATACATTTAAATGTTTGTCAAACATAACCGCTTCTCATGAGCGATCATACAAGACTTTTTTTACATCCACAAAAAATTGGCAAATTATGTCCCTGGCTGTAACGTAATAAATAAAGGCTATTGCTTATAAAAAATACATAAATAAATAAAGATGAGGTATTTGTATTGTCCCAACTTCCTGTTTATATTATATTATAAAAATAAAAAAATAATGTTGTTGTTGTTATTATCATTATCATCATCGTTATTATTATTATTATTATATAGCCTTATTAATATATAAATCACAACATTTGGCCTCATTGTGCAGCCCTATGAACAAGCACAGCAAACCTGTAATTTTTTTTAATCACATTTCAAATATATTTTTATCAGAAAAATCACAATTAGATTTTTTTTCCCTGAAACTGTGCAGTTCTACATACAAGTAAAGAGAAAAGATATTTATAGCAACAATAGCAGTCAAACAACACAAAATAAATATATTTCTGATTATAATGATAACTGGATGCCACTGGCTGACATACAAATGCAATGTGATGAGGTCATGTGACAACAATGTAGCATGCTACTAACTGAAATGTTTACCTTTGCACACTTCACACTTTTGCATGCTATTTACGTTTATGCTATTTCTTCTCAAATAAATAGCTAGCAGTTACTGTGCAGCACAAGCAGGACACTAGTATTCCTTAACCACCTTGAATTCACCTTTGGATTGTCCTATAAAGTGCCCAAATAGCCTTGAGCCAATGAACTAATGCTAAAGTGCCCTTCAGTTTAACCTTAGTCACCTTGAGAGGATTGAATCTCCAATAAACGCTCACACATCTCTGATGCTGTTTTCAGATGCTTATTGTATGCTTTACATGCTGACAAGAGCAAGAATAAACAAACTGCAAAAATAAAAATCTAAAGCTTCAAAAAGATTTCTGCAGTAATTTATGGGACAGATGGCCAGACTGAACACTGCACATGAAGGAGAAATGCATCACAGATCACAGTTCATAGCAGCACATTGTGCTCTAAGCATGTGACTGTGAAATTGCGTCATAATGCACATCAGCTACAGCCAAACACACACTCTCTCACACACACAGCAGAGCAGCAGAGCAAACACAGTGCTATCACTTCCATTTACTGCACAGCACATCCTGAACACATTATGAGCACAAATGCAGAGCGTCCTGAAGAACGCTGTCTCACCATCATGACATTAGTCCATCATCACAAGCTCCCTGTGGAGCATACACACAATCGCAAGCCCATCCAACAGTCTCCATGTAAAACACATGACTCAGCACCACGGTAAAACATCTGGAGAGCGGCGTCATGCATGCAGACTGCATCTGATACTCACATCATGCTGAGTCTGTGTGCCATGGCCGCGGGTCTGCGTGCACTCGTGTGCCGTACACTTGCTCATTCACTCTGCTCAACCCTACAGCGCTGCGTTCCTGGCCCGTGATGTCACACACGCATCACACACTTACATCAGCAGGTTTGTTACATGCTGCGGGGGAGCACACACTGACACCGCGCAGAACAACGACATGAAATCACAGATGCTGCTGAGGAAATGTGTGTGTGTGTGTGTGTGTGTGTGTGTGTGTGTTAAAAAAACGTTAGGGTACCTAGGGTATATTTGCAGTTAGGGGTGTGCGATATTAACAAAAAATAATATCTCTATATTTTCTGGGATTTTATCGATAACGATAATTAGACGATATTTTGCTGAGTG